TAGTTCACTTTAATTTTAGTTTTAGGCCTAGACTTTTGTAGCATTGATGCTTGTGTTGCTGGAGGGGGAAGGGGACAAAAGATTCTTCGCTCCTCCTTCCTCCCGACCCTCTCCCCTCCGCTTCTAACGGTCATTTTCCTTCATGTGGGCAGTAGATGAGAGAAAAAAAACAATTTTGAGAACATTGATTTGTGCTGGCCAGATCTCCGGAACTCGAAACAGTGGAAGGCGCAACTGTATGCTAGCTGAGTTTTAATTTTTCCAATTCCTCAATGATCTCTTCTTCCCTCTCAATTTTCGACAATTGATTGGCTTCCAACTGCTCGCCGCTTTCTTTCCGCGCTTTCAGTTTTTCAATATCCGTGAGCTTTTTTTGTAAGGCACGCATCTGAAAATGCAATTCCTTCACATATCTCATTTTTCCTTCTTTGAAAGTCTCATTTCGGAAACCCAAAATTTGAAAAATTATTAATAAACGGAAATGAAGACAAGAGCTCATTCCTCTATTTACATCGACCGGAGCGGATATCGGTACGATCTGCACGAAATTCAAATAGCTCCCCTCAGATTTCATAGGTTGAACAAAGTGTACGAGATATTGCAGGAGCCACGGTTTACAAAAAGAACTGCCGCTTTCTGATCCCGAGAATTCCAGCCACGAGTGAATGAGGATATAAAGAAATTTATGAATAATATGAAAACTGGAATCTCAAAAAATTACCTTCTTTTCTTTTTCGGGAATGGGAGCTTTTACCGCTGCAGCTGTTTGCAAGGCACCTCTCGTGGATCCTGAAACAATCTACAGTTTAAGAACCGGAACAAACAAGTCGATAATGTTGCTGTGTCTTGGTTACAAAGACCATCTCCTAGGGATATCTACTTCGGTTTTTGGTTAACTACTAACGTATTTCCCACCAGAGATGACCAAGAAGTGGGAAAAGAGACTTTCTGATACTCTGCTCAATGCTGTATTGAGTAGCAGTGATGATAATGCTGCTCATTTTTTCTTCTGAAAGCATAGGTGGATC